TTGGCGGCGGCGGAGGCGGGCGAGGGCCGTGCGGGCTGGCTCCCTCCGGCGGACCTCGTCTCTGCGGGGGGGAGGGTGCGGGCCGAGGTGCTGGACATGGAGTCTGTGGCGCGCCAGTCCGCCTCGTTCGCCTGCAGCTACGACGCCGCCACCGGCAAGGCGGGCCGGTGCGGCGGCGCGGGAGGGCAGAGCGAGCCGCCCGGCGGCCTCGCCGGCGGAGATGGCGGCGCGCGGCAGGTCGAGGCGCTGCAGCGGCAGCTCCACTCGCTGCAGTTGCGGCTGGCGGCGGAGCAGCAGTGCGTCACGCGCGAGCAGCACATCACGGCGCGCATGTGGCTCGAGAAGTCGCAGGCCGAGGAGGCGGCCGCTGAGTCCGCGGCAAAGGCGGCCGAGCACCAAGCAACCACTGCGCAGTGGGACGCGTGGCACGCGTCGCAGCGCCGGCAGCAGAGGCAGCGGCGGGCAATCCTGCTGCATGGCCGCTCCTCGGAGGGGGCCGCCTCGTGGAGGGCCGGCTCGGGCGCCTCGCCCGCAGAGCGCCTGGTCGCCTCGATCTGCGTCGACGTGCTCGGCCTCACCAGCGCCTCCTCGCTGCCCGACGAGGCGCGGAGCCGCCTTGCCAACCTGCTGGGCGAGGCCGCCGAGTTGGTCCGCGACCCGCCGAGCGCCGAGGCGGACCCGCTGTGCACGCGGCCGCCCGGACTGTCGTGTGGCTGAGCGCCTCAAGTATAACCACGGCGGCTCATGGTTGTTCGCGCGCCCCTCTCCGCTGTATGAAGTGAACTGAATTTCGGCTACCTTTCAACAGGCAATCTGAAGGCCATGCGTGTGTACCCAGATTCCGGATCTCCGGAAAACACTGTAAAAACTCGCCGCGCGACATACGTCAATTTGTGATCATTTGAATATCATCGCTCGATCTCAGCGACGAGCTTTCCACACGCCTCGCGCAGCTTCGCAGCGTCCGTGGGCGAGAGCACCGTCCGCGGCGCCTCCGCGCTCGAGAGCGTGCTCGGCACCGCGAGGTCGCCCGACGACAGCCTCGCGGCACCGAAAAACTCGAGCGTTCGCACGAGCGCCAGGCGCGCCTCGGCCCGGTCGTCGAGGCGGTCGACGGCGTCCAGGTCGGCGGCGGACTTGGCGAAGAGCGGCGGCGGCCCGGGTGGAGGGCGCCAGCGGCCGTCCGTGGGCGAGAGCGGCTCAAAGGTGCGGTCGTCTGTGCCCTGGGCGGGGACGCCGTTGGAGCCGACCCAGAAGCCCTCGCCGTAATCGAAGGTGAGCTCCTCGCCCGCTGCAATGTCGCGGGCGGCGTGGAAGATGACGGTGCGCTCCTCGGTCGAGACGGTCGCAGCGAGGGTGCCGTTCTGGTGGTGGTTGATGTAGCGCGACGGGTGGCTCGAGCTGGCTCCGTCGATGTAGAGATCCGAGCCGTCGCCAAGCGAGAAGAGGTAGGACGGGTCAGTGCTCGAGTAGCGGTCCAGCGTCTGATCCAGGGTCAGGAGCTCGCCCTCGTAGCAGCACACCAGGGCGCCGTCCGCGATGGGTGCGCTTGCGAAGGCGCCCATCCCCTTTCCGTCCCCAGCCTCGCGAACCACGATCGGAAGCTCGGCCGCGGCGACAGCCACGGTAGACGTCTCCAGCCGCTGCAGCGATCGCGGCGAGGTGGGAAGCGGGCGCGAGCCGGAGCCGGACAAGAGCAGCGGGAGGAGCATATACCGTGTGTGTGAGCTGTGCTCTGAGACGGCCAGGTGCTCGGAGGGTGTGGAGGCGCCCGGAGGCTGGAGCTGTGTTTTCTTTCTTCTATATTTCATACATCCTTATCCATCATCTCAATCCACGGTCACTTGATCTCGTAATACCCTCCCTGCTCCTCGTTGCGCACCCACTCGACGTACTTTCCGTGACCGATGCGCTCCAGCCAACCTTGCGTTCACGATGGTCTGCCGTCCGCGCCTGAACGCCGTGTAGCGTGTTGGTTTAAGTTCCCGTCGGTATACTGTTGCATGTCCATCTCCCACATGAGATCGCCCGTCATATATCCGGAGGGTAGCTCTCGCGACCAGGGCAAGCATCAAAGTCGGCGCCTCCACAAGGGCCCACTCCGCGCTTTACCACCGTCCGTACAAACCGCCTCGCACCCAGACAGGTCTGCCGCTGCTCATCAACATCGAGGCCCGAGGACGCAGGCTGTTTGCCATGAAGCCGCACACGGCCGCGCACCACCACTCCACCCCATCGACTCCTCTGCCTCCTCATCCCAATCAGGCAAGCGTTCCTCAGGGTCGTACTCGCCATCCTCCTCCTCTGAGGCGGCCGGGCCCCCATTTGCTCGCCCCGCCTCACGCACCTGTGATCTAGCACCTCCGCTCGCGCCCTCTCGCTGCGCCGCGCGAGAATGCTCGCCGCTGCTGACCCGATCTGCTGACCGGCGCCGGCATCGCTGGCTCGCACGATCTGCGCCCTCCACTGGAAGTCGTAGGCAGCATAGGCACCGGGTCTGGCACGGTGCCTATATTCTCAAATATTCTTTATATTCGCGCTGAAAATCGCTGAAAATCGCTTCGAAAAAGAATATAGATTCGGAAGAATAACGTATAAAGGCAAAAATTTGTCTGCCCCCCGGGGGGGGGGGGGGGGGCTCCACCGGAATTCGTAGGGTCTGGCAGCACCGGCTCAACGCCGCGCCCCGCGGCTGGTGCAAGCAGGGAATGTTCCCGCTGCTGCTCCGCTGCAGCCTCCAGTCGCCGTACTGCCTCCGCACCCTCGGCGTTCGCCTCTCGCCCTGCTGCAGCATCTGTGCCCATCTCTGGCAGCTGAAAGCCGAGCGCCTCCTCAAAGCATGTGCGACCAGCCGGTGCCGCTGCAGCGCCGTCGGTCGCAGCGGCAGCTGCTGTGCCTCTCGCACGGTGGCGTCTGCTCATGCGCGTCGCGTCTTGCAACCAGCAGCGGGCAGCGACGGGCACGTGACAAGAGAGCGCGAGTTCCTGGTTTCGCGGCAAGAAAAAAGAATTTTACAACGCCCTACGACGCGAAGACTTTCATCAGCTTCTCTTGGCTTAAATACGAGTCTTAACACGAGTGATTACGACGCTGGTCGCCCGACGACGCAGCACCAGCGAGCGGAAAACTCACCTCTCATGCCCAAGAGCACACTGTGCCCGGCCCAATTAGGTAATTATTATAATTAATTATTTAATTCGCGGCTCCTCACCCTCGACGAGGTCGTCGCGAGAGAAGAGGCTCCTGCCGTCTGCTGCCCCCGGCGCCCCTCCTCACCGCAGGGCCTCCTCCTCCTCGCAGGCGCAAGAGGTTCAGTCGCGCAGCGCCACGCCGCGGCAGCTGGCTCTCATGGCGGCGCGCATCCCGGCCGTCCACCGCTGGTGCGCGTCGGGCACTCCCCTCTCCGCCGAACGCGGCCTCGCAGACGCGTTCGACCTGCTCCATTTCCTGCGCGCAGCGGGGCCCGCCGAAGCGACCGACCGACGCGCCTTCGCCGCGGCGCTCGCGCAGCCGGCTGGCGCGGGCCGCGCGCGGCTGCTCTCTGCGCTGCGCTCGCTCATGCGGCGCACGACCAAGCCCGACGCTGCGGCGCAGAACGCGTTCGCGGCGCCGCCGCTGCAGCACGTTTTGCTGCTGCCGCCGTCGGCTGCCGAGGTTGCTTGGGCGCAGCGCGATGCAGAGGCGGGCGGGCTCCCCGCGTCGCTGCTGCCACCCTACCCGGAGGGCCTCACTCCCGCGGACGAGGCCGAGGGGTCCGCATCCGCAGAGACCGGCGCCGCCGCAGGCGATACGGCCGAGGGCGCCGCCCACGCAGAGCCTCTGTCCCACCTCTCCGAAGGGTGGCAGCGGCTCCAACCAGCGCTCACCCACCCGCAGCTGTCTCGCACGTGGGTCGGGCGCGGGAACGCGGAGGCGCAGGTCGACACGGGCGCGCCGCAGCCGCGCAAGTCAAAGCAGTGCGGACAGGCGGTGTGAGCAGCAGCAGCTGCGGGTAGGCACGACCGTCGGGCCGCTCGAGCAGCTGCAGCGGGCGGCGGAGGACACGTCTCGCAGGCAGCAGAGGGAGGAGCTCTCCCTGGCGGAGCAGCTCAACTTGGTAATTACGAGAGGGGGCGGCAAACGCGCGCTGGCGCGGCTCGCTCTGAGGATGCCACCCGCTGCTGTCAGGTTGCAGCGCTGCACGTGGCTCTCGGGGACGAGGAGGCGGCCCGCGCGGTGTACGAGCGCGTGCTGCGGCTGGAGGAGTGGGGCGTGTGCGAGGACGCGTCGGGCGGCGACCAGGTCGACAATGCGGAGGAGACGCTCCGTCTCTGGCGGTGCGAGCGGCTGCACGCCCTCTTGAACGGTTGACTCACTAGTTGATAGTCATCAATTACTTAACAGGTGCGAGCGGCTGCACGCCCTCTTCAAGCTGCTCTCGCTTCACCACCAGGCGGAGGTCCCCAAGCGATCGGGCCAACGGTCGCTAGCCTCTCCGCTAGGGTAGCCTAACGTTAATTTGGGGCCTAACGGCTAACAGTTGCGCTATTGTTGGCTGAAATCCTCAACGTTGTTCAAGTGTTCACCCCGGCTTTTGCTGTTACTGTTTGTTACTGTTGTAGTTACTGTTGTTCAGCGGCCAGCAAGCAGAAAATGGCAAAAAACCCGGGTAAACCCCGAAAATACCTGGGATTTTCCGGGTATTTCCGGGTATTTTCGGGTATTACCCGCACTGGACACTGGAGATCGTCGTGGGTCCCTGCCAGGCCTTCCCTACTGTTGTTCAGGTCGGCCTAACGCTAGCTACTGTTGTTGGGGAGCCCCACTGTTGTTCTGTTGTTACTGTTAACACTAGCAACACTGTTCAGCTCCTAACGTTAGGCAACCCTACTCTCCGCAAGGCCTCTCATCCGACATCCCCCTCGACCCCTCCGCGTCGAATTCATATTTTCATTGGCGCGGGCTCTCTGAGATCGGCTACGGGACCGCGGCCCCACGGCCCCCCGCCCACGGGGGCACGGAGGGCACGGCCTCCAGCTCTTCGCGCTCGCCGCGGCGCTCCCGCTGAGAGTGAGACGGGCTAGGAGACGACGGGGCAGGGGCGGCTCAGGATCAATACTGCGGCCGCCGTCACGACTGCCATCCTCGGCGGCGCCGAGCGCGCGAGCGGCGCCGATGGCCAGCCCGGCGCCACCTCCCAGCGACAAGCGCATGAGCGACAGGACGCGCATGAGCGACCGGTCCAGCGCACGTGATTGGGCGCGCGTCGGTTTCATGATGTAAGTTGCACCAATTTCGGGCGCTCGTGATCTGTATTGCGCCCACTTCCGGCCGCTGATCTGTGTTGCACCTATTTTGGCGCTCTGATCTCGAGTGCCACCCATTGCAGCCCTGTGATCTTGACAGCACCCCTCTCAGGCCTATGATCCTCAGCGCGCCCCCTCAAGGTCTGTCTGCTGATCCCCACAGACCCTGCCGTGGGTGCTTGATCCTGAGGCGCGCTCCCGCCGGTGCTGTGATCCTGAGAGGGGTGTCTGTGATCCTGAGAGAGGCTTATCTGGGAGACGACGGGCTCTCCCGAAGTGCCACTAGAGCTGTTTAACGTTGGGAGCTGAACAGTTGTTGCTAGTGTTATAACAGTAACAACTGAGGGCGAGACGATCGAGGGGTCCCGTCCCATGCGGAATCGACCCTATCCAGTGCTCAAGTGCTCAGCAACAACAGAACAACAGCGGGGC